AAATGGACATGTTCGCGGAACTATATTTCATTTGCTGTGGTGCAGCAAAAAATAGGTGATAGGTTCTCAATATAGAAGTGACCGTGAAAACTGCAAATATATATTAAGTGCCACAAAAAATCATGATTTTGTAGTCTTGAATTCAATGACCACAGACACAAAGTTTGACATAAATATTGGTGCCCCCACAGCGATTAAAGAAGGGCCTGAGAAAAAAGGAGCAGGAGATAGACCAGCTCCAGCAGGCAGCCCAGGAGGCGGACGACCAGGCAGACGAGGCCCTCAGGGACAAGGACAGGCAGCTCCGAGACCTGCAGAAGCAGCTGAAGGACTCCAAGTCAAAAGCAAACTCAGATCGAGAGAACCTAACCCAACAACACAAGGTAAAGCCCCTGTCACACATTCAGAACCTTCCCCTACCACCAACCAACCAAGATTGGCTGAAGTTTAGACTTGAAGCAGGATTTAGGCTACAGCAACTCAATTCAGGCTTTGTAACTCTTTAACTAGGTGTCATTACATGACAGAAGTATTGTTATGGGTGGCCCTGTTTATGCTAGGTTTGTAATGGTAGGGTTCCTAATTGAGTGGGCAGAGATTGTGTTCACGTGATTGACAGGGTTTTGACCCAGTATTCCTTGGGTTCAAGGATGTGGTTACTAAGAATGTATGAAACATAAGGTTTATCATACAATTGTATGAGTAATGCATTTAGTGATATAATTTGTTAGAAAAAATTACATGCTGTATGTCATTGTCTACTTGCACACTTATTTGCAGACCCAGTTGGAGGAAACACAGCGACAACTACAGAGCAAAGAGCAGATCATCCAGAGATTGTCGGCCAGCATCCAGGAGAAGGACAGGGTCATCCAGGAGTACATGCAGATGGCTCAGGAACAGGAGAACTCACGGGATGTAAGTACAGGGCAAGGGTTAGAGGTCATTGTGGGTCAAGGGTCAGAGGTTATCTCATGGGATGTAAATATAGATCAATGTTTAGGGGTTAAAGGAGTTCAATGGTTAGGGTTTATAATAGGTCAAGGGTTAGAGGTTATGGTGGGTCATCCAGGAGTACATGCAGATGAACAGGAGAGCATCATTCCCATTTTTAGAACCAATAGGAGCCCAGGATTCTTTATAACTATCACTAATAGAAAGATTGGTCACTGTGGAAACCAGTCATCACAACCTCCAAGACTGTGGTAACAGACAGTTCTCAGTAATTGGTCCATGTTAGCATAAAAATAAGTAACTCAAATCAGCAGGATTCAAATATTCTCAGTGTCCCTCCTGACTTAGAGGTGTTGGCCATCAAGCTAGAAGTAACTAGTTCTAGGGGCCTGACCAGTAGAATGTATCACGGCTAGAAGCCTGATGTAGTCAGGCTAGGTAAATATTATAGTAATGTCTACATGTTTCACTTCTTGCCCTCCAGCCCTACTCAGAGAACAAGGACAGCATCATCCAGCGTCTGAGAGAGAGGCTAAAGGAGAGGGACAAGGCTGTGGAGGTGTGAACTGTTAGCAGGGTTCCTCGCATGGGCAACAACTGAAAAATGCTTTAAGGGCTTGAAAATGCTTGGGGAAATTAACTTTCCTTTCCCACTCATGCAGTCTTTTGTGCAAAAATGATTGAAAATGGTAGCCATAGAAATTTCTAAAGATTAAGAGTAAGAATTGAATAAGTTTATCATATTCCCAGGCGGAATCATTTTAAATATACAAATGTATACTAAGTCTTGTACTTTCAATTGTAGACTACAAATGTATATGGTATTTTAGAATGTCCGAGAAGTGAATAAAGTTGCATCTTGATAAAGAAGCTTATGCTGAAAAAATAATCTAATTATCTGCTAATTGATTGACAGCACCTGTCTGTTGCACAGTCTTCTAGGCCACACCAATTTAATTTGTTGGTTCTGGGATTTGCCTCTTCATTTTTTTCTATAAAAAAGATTCTGGTTCAACTCAACTCAAATATGCCCATATTTTGCCCCCAACAGTTGAGGAAAGTCCTTTTCTTCCTAGTTTCTACAGTTTTTCCATCTATTAATGTGGTGATTTGATTAAAAGTTTAAAATTCATTGTTTAAATATTAACCCAGCCCTTTGTTTGACATCATGGCTCCTATCATAGCATTTGGGACTATCAATAGGATGCCAAGACTTGTTTTTTTTTCCCCTTGTCGCTTCATTTTTTCCTGAAAAAAATCTGAGAACCAACAAAATTAAATTGGTGTGGCCTTAAATAAATCTGAAATTTAGATCAACTGTAGAGCCCTGTTGATTCATGTTTCCCAGGATGCAATAGAGGAGAAGTTCCGCACGTTGGAAGCGAAAGAAAACGAGCTGCGTCACCTGCGGGTCAGCCTGCGGGAACGGGAGAGGGAGCTGGAGCGAGCCAACTCTCTCCTCGCTGGCAACGAGGAAACCATCAATGTAGGTCCAGCTGAATACACTACACAGTATGAATATATCCTGAGCAAAACGCCTTTTACTTGTTTTCTTTTGTTACTGTAAGTGCATTGAATTTTTTGCAGTGGTTTTATTTTTTGGCAGGAGGGAAAAGGAGGTTTTCAATGTGTTTTGAATTCACAGTTGAAACAATTATGTTGCACCGTAGTGATACAAGTTGTGTTGTCATGAGTTTGCTGTGGAAAGGTTATTGTGAGAATATAACTGCCACATACGTTTCTGCTTTTGTAGTTTACAGTATTTCTCAAAATTCAATTTTTCTTACTGAAAGCATTAGATGACTTTTGATTGTGAATTTCAATTGGACACAATGTAGAATTGAATTTTTAAAGGATTTGAATGTACTGAATTAGCAAACAGACATTAAGAAATATTGGTCGCTGTTTTACGCTTTGGAAATACCCAACCCGCTACCATTGTAAGTTTGCTATGTACTATTAGTTTTAAATCTTGTTGAAGGTCTCTTAAAAATCTAAACCTCTCCTTTCCCAGAACCTGGATGGTATAATCAAAGAGAAGGATGTGGAACTGAGACAACTTCTGAACCAACTCAAGAGCCAGCAACGCACCAATGCTGTAAGTTTGCTTGGAAGTATTGGTTTTGGGTGGCACTGATGTAGGGGCAGTTTGCTTGTATCTTGTCCTCCGTAGCAAGGATTTTTAGTGAGTGGTCAGAATTTTTAGTTGACCATCTAGTATGTCCTGGGTGGTAGGATGTGGTATGGAGGTCACCAGGAATGTGTACTGTGTAATCATGGTATTAAAAATAAACTGTGGTGTAATACCAGACTAAGTTACGTCATACAATGTCACACAGTGTTCAGTTGGGCATTGGATTAAACATTTACATGCTTCAGACAGCAATGCTGTCTTTTTACCTCCATGAAAAATAGAGGTATTGTCATTGGCATGTCTGTCTGTGTGTCTGTTTGTGTGTTTGTGTTTCTGCACATTTGTAGGACAGCATAACTTCAGAACGCCTTTATGGATTGTAATGATATTTGGTAGGTCGTAGGAAGACAAAGGTCAAATATGGGCCTCCTGGTGGCTGACCTTGGTACTGCAACAGAACTTCATTTTTTTATCTTTTGACCTGAACATGCTAAGGTCTTGGATTTTTGGTGACAGATAGCTTTTCCTGTCAGGAATAAGTGGTGTGGGTTTTGTTCCCCTAGCAGCTTAATAGGATTAAAGTTCTGTGTGAATGTCACAGAAAAAGTCCAGGCATTAACGTTTTCCAATCCTCTGTCCTATGGACACACAGGCCACAGCCGAGGAACATGCCAGAGCCCTGTTGGAGAAAGAAGCTCTGATAGAACAGCTACAGCAGGCCCTCAGCAGTAGGGACAAGGACATTAAGGTTGGGAGAACTTAACCATTTACATGTAGATGATATTGGACTTTATAAACTCTGGCCATCTCTGCGCACATTTTCTTGAATTTAGCTGCACTTCGGTAAAAGTTCTTTTTGATGTTGATGTAGTGCAGTTGAATTCAATTATAAAATGTGCTCTGATGTTATGGAGTTTTGCTTGTTGTACATGTACTTGCATAAGCCTATTACCAGATACATGTACATACAATCGTTCGGATGACCAACCCTGTCCTGGGCAGTCACTCTTTCTCAGCAGCAATTTTTGCTTAGTTTCTTGAGTGCCTGCTACTGACAGGTTTAAGGTGTAATACTAATGATACTAGTGTAATACTAATGATACAACGTTTGATTTTTTGTTGGGAAGAAATCACAAAGACACAGAATGCAAATTTACAAAGGTATAAACCCCAAAACAAATTTGGAAGTTAGTATCTGCAAGAATGATAAGTAAAACATTTAATAGTAGTAGTAGTAGTATACTAGATACAGGATTACTGTAAGCAAAACGCTAATAATAATTTGCCCCCCTCCCCACTTTTGAACTGTAGAAGTTGAGCCAGTCTCTACAGAGCAGTCCCCAGTCCAAACCCAGAGTGGATGCCATGATACAGGAGCTCAAAGACAAGCTGGATGAGAGGGACAGAATGTTACAGGTAGGGCAAAGATTTCTTTCAAACTTAGGAAAAATTGTTCTGATGATAATAGTTATGTTTACCGAAGGAAAACATTTTGTTTTTACTCGGTTTCTTCCTCCTCTTCTGCTCCAAACACTAATCTCTTACCTGACCAATGACATGATTTGTTGACGTCTGTCACCATGGTGACTGGTGTTGGGTTACATAATGTTGCAATTTCATGGTCTGCTCTGCTCCTGTCACCATATACTAGTAGTACATATGTATGTGAATGTGTTTGAGTAAAAATTAACAGGGCAGACCATGTCCAAAGGTAAACATTATGCATTTGCTTTGCAAATGTTACTTCTCTAGTCATATTTTGTATTGGGGGAAAGGGTTTGAAGTCAGTGATTGGATTCTGTATTACAATACAGCAGTATAAAACACACATTTGCAGTTGAATGATTTCGTAGTAAGTGAAAATTGAAATCACCGCAAAAGTTTTTGCATTAACAGTTATTTCCTGCTACCGTGAGCAAAACATAGAAAAACCTTACTGTGAATATTAATTAAGAAGGTAGAAAAACTTTCTATTAAACATCTTGGCTGATTCTTGCTGTACACTTCCTCTAATGATAAAAATAATTTTATGCAACAGTAAGTTTTGAAGGAAGTTTGTCACATGTGTATGCTTCTTTAGTTAATTTGCTAACTAGTTAACAATATTACTAACCAGGTTAACTAACCTTTCCCACTCACCAGGAGGTTATGGAGGAGAGACGTAGAGCGTCGTCAGATGGCCACGCCCACACGCAAAGGCTTCTGGGTACTATCAAAGACAAAGATAACATGCTAAAGGTACGGAGATCTGGGTCAAGAGAACCAAATCTTTCAACCAAGCTTTTAATTTTTCCCTCTTAAAGAAGCATATTTTCTGTATGAAAGGCATCCAATGCAATTTTAAGGGAGCAAAACAAAAAATATTCTAGATGAGGAAATCTGTCTGGCATTGACATTTACTGCCATTTCTTAGCACATTTTTGTCATTATTTCATACTCGAGGCATTTGAAATAGGTCAAAACCAAGCTATGTGAGGAGTCCCTTTATTTTTAGGTACCACCAATAAACAGCTAGAACCAGCCTATGATGAACAATCGACCGTATTGCATTTTTGCCCCACAGAAATCAGGATGGGGTCGATTCAACTTACTACACTTAAAAAATGAGCAGCAAATTGACTTTGTAAATGCAGTGTTACTGCCCCAAAGTCACTTTGTGTGCCTTTAAAATTTTTGTTCCTTTGTGTCAAAATGTAATCAAAACCGTACACACAGTGTGGGGACACAAATGTTGCATAAAAAGAAGTATAATTGTAACTCACTTGTTTCCATGTATCGGATTTCTTTTGCAGCGTAAGCTTGATTCTTCTAAGTCTGTAAAGTGGTGCACTTGAGTGGGCTCTTTGCCACATGTCCTAGTTTATACCATTTTTGTTGTGGGGGTGTAAAATGCTAACCCTAATTTCTTCGAGCAGTGAAATGGTATAATATAGCACAGAATTGACAGAAATATTGCATACACATTCATGTAATATGGAATTCTTACCACAAATATTCTTAAAATACATATTTACACACATGTATGAGCCAAGGGGTATGGAAAAAAATTGGTTATCCCCATCTAAAATGGTTTGACCCATATCTTTAACAACAGCAAATGTTTGCCCCCGTTTTGTTAACATGTCTATGGGGAGGATTTCTTTTGCATTCTCTTGTTTACAAGTAAGATCAATAATAGCTGTTACAGTTCTTTGTGGTGTATAGTTTTGTATGAAAGAGAATTGATATTTTTATACACGAACATTATGCATGTGCTTTGACGTAAAGAGTAATATTTTTTCTTTGTTGTGGAAAAGGATCACTAAAAATAGATTTTTCTGTTGTTTGCGCTCCACAAAAGGAGGCCAATGAGAGATACAACCAAGTGGTGTCTGAGAAAAATGGAGAAATCCAAAAACTTCAGCAGAGACTCAACAACAGAGAAGCGGAACTCCAGGTGAGAAATCTTCTATTTTAGCCCCCTCCATTTTATGTTGGGTTTAAAACCAAGCAGATGTCAGGAGGGAAAGACTGGCCAAATGAACCAAGAAGTGACGCAATTCTTGACCACACTTTTCCAATTATGAACTATTACAAGATATCTCTTCTCCATTAAAAATAGCTCACATTTACAATTGTGCATCTACACATGTAAGTCCAGTGAGTCTTACTAGCATTAGTCCAATTCAAGTCACTAAGGTTACCAATCATCATCAGCTATTCCCATCTCCCATTCAGATTTTTAAAAGCATTTCAGACTTCTTACATCTATACATGGTGTTAAAAACATACAAACTGTACTTTTGTTTCCTCAACCTAAAAAAAATATATCCTTTTTCTATATGGTATGAAAAGTAACTTAGATAGCACAAATTTTTTTGGAATTTCACAGGATTTGTGCAAATGGTTAGGCACCCCTGTTCAAGATATTTAATTTCAAGCTGTTGTCACAAGTGAGAAGTAAGTAAGAAATGTTTCTAACATGTGCATTTTTATTCCACACTGTCTTCAGAGCCTGACCAGTGCTCGAGACTGGACAGAACAGGAGCAGAATAAACTGCTGGAGAAGATGAGGGCTGCTCTCAGTGATAAAGACAGGACCATCGAGGTAGAGATACTTCCGAACAGAGAATGTCACTCATGGAAAAGTTTTCAAAAACGTTCTACCATGTGCTAACAGGATAGTCATTGTTATAGAAGTAAACTAGAGAAGTATAATGTTTACCTTCGGACATGGTCTGCTCTGTTAATTCTTACTCAAACACATTCACATACATGTACTACTAGTACATGGTGACAGGAGCAGAGCAGACCGTGAAATTGCAACATTATGTAACCCAACACCAGTCACCATGGTGACAGACGTCAACAAATCATGTCATTGGTCAGGTCATACATGTACACTGTTTGGAGAAGAAGAAGAAGGGGAAAAACTGAGCAAAAACAATGTTTTCCTTCGGTAAACATAAAAACAGGACTTAATACAAGTTCAAGTTCTTGAGTGGCAAAAATGAGCAGACACAAGATCAAGAAAGTTGTGGTTTGCTTCTTGGCATTCCTGGCAAGATGCCGTGTCTTTGGAAAAAGAACTTTACACAACTTCCCTCACTCCATCCAAGTGTAAAATGGGTACCTACCTTTGGTTGGGGAGGTAAAAGGTGGTGGAGGAGATTGATGGGCTCCACCTTCCAATACCGTGTCCTAGACAACAGTGGATTAACAACCCACTGTCCCTACAAATGTACAGCATCAAAAAGGCTGTGGGACTACCTTTACCTTTTTATGTTTCCCGAAGGAAAACATATTGTTTTTGCATAGTTTCTTCCTCTTCTTCTTCTTCTCCAAACAATGACCTAACCAATGGCATGATTTGTTGATGTCTGTCACCATGGTGACTGGTGTTGCAATTTCATGGTCTGCTCTGCTCCTGTCACCATATACTAGTACATGTATGGGAATGTGTTTGAGTAAGAATTAGCAGAGCAGACCATGTCCGAAGGTAACCATTATGCATTTGCTTTGCAAATGTTACTTTTCTAGTTTTTACCTTGTATTTTTCAGATGTTGGCCCAGTATGCCCAGTTGTATGATAATAATTATGTTGTTACTTTTTTCACAGACCTTAGTGGAAAATGCGAGGGAAAAGGACAAGCTGTTGTCGCAGCTGCAGATGTCTGGTCCCTCGCACCTGGCAGACACGGTCAGACAGCTGAAGGATGACATCAGGAAGAAAGACGGTGAGATGGTGTTCTGTTCTTTGTTTTCACTTAGCTTTGAGTGCTGGAAAGGCCAAGGAAAAACTTTAAAATTTATGTTTCCAAATTCCAGACTGACACTACCAAAAACTGCCAACCCAAGGTTTTATCTGACTTCTAAATTTCAAACCTGAAAAATTTTCAAAGGTATTTTTTTAGAAAATTGAGTAAAATATTTGTGCCTTGCCCACACGTACAAGCAGCTTATTAACCTTATTTTTTTAGGACTGAAATGAAAAAAATAACATTTATTTTCCTAGCCCTAATGCTTCTTTGAATGGCAATGGTCAGTGTTTATTATACATGTATCTTAATACATGAATCTGATAGTATACAATCACTTCACTGTTACAAACTAGTATAAATCTCAATCTTTCCATAGATACTATTATATGTATGGCTAATTTTTTTGAAAGTCATGGAAAATTTGATTCAATTTAGCTAGCCATCTTAGACCTTGAAAGTCCATTTGAGATACTTTCTCCGAGCTGTGATGCCATGTTTGTGAAATATTTGTTCCAGTGGTCGAAATACTTTTTTTCAGTGTTCTGCAATATTGCAGAAGAGTCAAAATTTTGTTCTGCAATTTGGAAATACTTTCTGCAAATACACAAGCCTCTATACTACAATCTTGCAGGTTTATAAGCATGAACTATTGATTGATAATATATTATGCAAATTAGTGAAGACAAATTTTTGGAAGTCCAAAAGGAAACAAAAGATAAACAAATCAAGACAAGGTTGATGCAAATTAGTGAAGAAGCTCCTGTTGTTTCAGAACAGGAGCTTAAGTGTTGTCTGTCCTTGGGGCCAAGAGCACCAAATCCCAAGTGCCAATTTTTCCTGCTGCAAAATTGCCGATTGTATAAATTTTTCTTCTGCAATCTTGAAAATCTATCTGCAGATTGCAGACTGCAGACAGGTATTTCGAACACTGATTTGTTCCCTTCCCCGACAGAACTGATTGACCGTCTGCAGTCGTCCAGTACGTCGGGCTACGTGTCCACTGAGGATGACCCTTACGTCCAGTCCCTCCGCAAGGAGCTGGCCAGTAAAGCCAGGCTTCTGTCAGAGACCACGTGAGTGATAGATAATTTGGTGGTATTTCTAACCCTGTAATGTTACAAATGTACATGTACAATGTACATGTATATGTTTACTACTGGGATGGAAGTATCGTTTTTGGTCATGTTGGTTGATGGTCCGTGTTTTTGTGTTGAGTCTGGAAGCTGGGGAATTTAGTGATGGATAATTTGGTGGTATTTCTAACCCTGTAATGTTATATGTTTACTTCTGGGACAGAAGTATTGTTTTTGGTCATGTTGGTTGATAGTTTGTGTGTTTGTGTTGAGTCTGAAAGCTGGGGAATTTGGTCATTTGAGGTTGAGTTTTACTGGTGGTACAAAATGTATTTCTAACCCTGTAATGTTATATGTTTACTTACAAATGTATGGGACGGAAGTATTGTGTTTGGTTTGGTTTGTTTGTGTTGAGTCTGTTAGCTGGGGAATTAGTCATTTGAAGCTGAGTTTCACTGGAGCAATGGGGACATGAACTTGATGTGCCCTTGGGGCCAAAATGTGGTTTGGGATGGCCAGGAATGTTAGACATTGAAAAATTGACTTGCAATCATTGTAGAAAGTCACAATTGTAAGAGTTGTCAAAGTGCTGTAATTCTATTTGGTATTTCTCTCTGATCATTTAGTAGAGTACCAAAACATTCACGGATACCCAATATAATTCTGCAGGTCTAAAATCTCAAATTTCTTGTTGCTACATAGTGTTTTGTGTTCTGTCTATGAACCTTATATTTTTATATTAACAGTTAGAAGTAAAAAGTAATCTTATTTTTCATTAGTATGAAAGTTCTAATTTCCTATTTCCCTCATTTTTATTGCTGTTCCTTCAATTGTTTTGCCTCCCTCTTGCTTTCCAGTGCTGCTCTGCAGTCCTTGCGGGACCAGAAGCCAGCCCAGGGGGACCTCCAGCAGCAGATGGCACAGCAGGCACAGGTAAATGTTGTGGGATTCAAAAGTAAACATACTGAAATACAGGAAATTAAGTAAATAAGTTCTCAATGTTTTTCATAATACATTGAGCTGTGTGGTCGTTGGGTGGTCCAAGAAATACAGTCTACCTTTTGTTGCCAATTTTTGTTTTTCTATCTGCTGTAACTCTGAAGTTTTTTTTCCAGACAGAAATTGTATATCTCACAGCTTAGGCCACACCAATTTAATTCGTTGGTTGTCGGATTTGCCTCTTCTTTTTTTTCTGATTTGCAAAAAGAAAAAAGATTCTGGTTCTGAATCAACTAAAAAATGCTCATATTTTGCTCCCAACATTTGAGGAAAGTCCTTTTCTTCCTAGTTTCTACAGTTTTTCCTTCTATCAATGCAGTGGTTTGATTAAAAGTTCAAAATTCGTTGTTTAAATATTACCACAGCCTTTTGTGTTGACTTCGTAGCATTTGGGGCTATGATAGGATGCCTAGACCTGTTATTTTTTTTCCGCCCTGTCGCTTCGTATTTTTTCTGAAAGTATCCTAGAACCAACAGATCAAATTGGCATGGCCTTACATTCATTTGGAAGAATTTTGTATGACAGATTCAACATTGTTTTAACTGCAGTACATGTACAATGTAATTGGCATCTTTCAGGCTCAATGTGTTGTGGTAAAATGATTTTTTTGAAGTGTGAACTTCAGGATGTAGTTGAACTTGAAAACTCGCTGAACTTCAAGATTAGCCCTTGACATTGTTGTTGACCTCTAGATTATTTACACCTGTCGGGTCAACAACAAGCAAGCTTTCTTGATGTGATTGTTGTTTCTCTAATACTGTAAATGCAGTGGTTTTATTTCTCAGTATGAGATGGTTTTTGCAGTATCTGAATTTTCACTGTTGATACAATTCTGTAGTGTACACAAAATGCGCAATTGCCATTTTATGATTTTGCAGTAAGGGGTCACCACTAAAATAAAAGTTAAACCATTGCAAAAATTTCTGTATTAACAGTATTGTAAGTGGGTGTACCAATGTAGTTGTTCCTGTTCTACATGTATGATATGGTTGTTTGACTTGTTTAATGGACAACAAGCAACCACCCATGGCCCTCTGACAGTGAATGTAGCAATATATAATAATTAGGCTCATTTGGGGGTTTTGAAAATATGCCATCACAACGTCCACAAGAGAAAATAAAGACTGTGTCATTTCTACAGTTTCATTGAAAATTTCTGTCCAATGGAAATAGTGTTTATAAGATAAATTGTGCATTTTGTACAAGTTGATCCAAGGCTTGAATTTGAAAGATGGGGATTGTTGGATATCTCGTTTCCCGTCGGCTGAACAGACAATCACGTGACCCCTACCCTGATACTAATTATTCCGCCCCTTTACCCTCTGACCCTTCCTCCCTAACCCTCGTAAGGGTCATTCGTGGCTCAACCTTTCTCTGTACGGTCACATTTGTTTGGCTCCCGATCACATTTGTCCCAAGCGTGTGTAGTTACAATTTCCCCTCGGCTTCTTCCGCTGGTCACTGGATTACTTCACCTTGTACTTCTGCTCGTGTGGATTCCCGTCTCTCTGACTGTTCCTTTGTGTAGACGTTCGCGTTCCACGTAAGTTGATTATTCCGCCATGGATCTTGACCTCTACACCAGAACTACCTCCGTTATGTGCGTCCAGCGGCTAGCTCAACTGGTTTCTGCGCGCCCCTGTGCTACAGTTTCGTCGCGTTTCTTCACATCGATCGTCTGTTCCAAGGATTTTGCGCCAAGTCTCCATCGCCTCGGCAGACCGGACCACCTCGAGCTCGGACCCCACTGGCTACCCCCGCCCGCCTGACGATGGAAGTTCTGTAGCAGGTTTTCCCCTCTCCTTTCCATGTTCCCCCCGTTGTCTGTATTTTGTTGGCCTTTGTTGTCTTCTCGTTTATGTACTATCGTAACCGGTTTTATAATACTACTGCTTATTTTTACCACAGGAGGTTGCTGCATCATGGGCGTTCATAGATCTCTTTGCGTGTGGTCCTGCATGTGTACTACTCTAGTAACGCTTCTAATTTCCTTGCTTTTTCCTAGTTTGCGCTCTGGCTATTTACACATTCTTCCTTCAACAGAGACGTTCCCACCACGAGGTGTCACTCGAGGACAGCGCACTTCCTCACCTCCTGCTGTGTTAATGACAGCCAGGCTATACCCTCTTCCTGCCTGTTACAGTTGACCGCCTAGCCTTTTCTCTTCCAGACCGACCACCCGTGGGAACGTTGTGATGTTATGAACGTAATATCCCCTTCCACCCCAAACACTCTAGCCTGGAATCTATCCGTGAACACTGTGTCTCCGCTCCGTTCCTCCGCTCTGCCTTCAGGATTCCAGGCTATTACCTCGTGATTGACCAACAAACTTCCTGACTTTCTTCCCGTATATAGTACCCATCCTTGATCGGTTACAACCTCCTCGTTTTGTTTGTTTTGTTTTGATAGACTGGTTGGCTAGGTCAGTTATTAATGTGCTAACTGCCCTACTCCCACGTGATGCACAGTTTTCTACACTCACTCTTCCAGCATTTGTTGTCTGATGATCTCTGATGGGCTGTCCTGACTGTTTGATTGGTTTCTCACTACATGTCTGGTGCGTCCACGTTGTATATGATCCTTACCTCGGACCCTACCTCTCATGTCCTCACCTCGCCTTGTTTTTCCGTCCCATCCACCCCCACCCGACCCCCGACCCTGTTCCCCCTACTAGCCAACTCCCACCCTAGATCTTGACATGTGCACATGACTCACCCCCCCTTCATACACATATGCTAGTACATGTAGTAGTAGCAAGTCGTTCTTGTGTTTGTACACTCTTGTTTTTGCATTGAACGCATTGATCTCATCGTTTTTTCAATTTCGTAGACGCAGTTGTGCCGAATTACTCCACGTATTAATTATGTTTCTCCCTTTTACGACTAGTCTGCTGCACACGGAGGAACTAATGCTCCCCCTTTTGCGAATAGTACATAGTGACGTGATGTCCTTCCGGTCGCCGACAAGACAGTTG